CGCTTGAGCCCAGGAGTTGGAGGTTGCTGTGAGCTGTAATGCCACGGCACTCTACCCAGGGGGACAGCTTGAGGCTCTGTCTCAAAAAAAAAAAAGAAAGCAATTTGATGGCATACCGTAATGATCTAAAAGAAGAAAATACTCATGAAGAGAATTTCTTTCCCCATATTAATTTCTTGGTTTTAATAAGTGTACCCTGCTTACCTTCAGAGCAGCACTAGCCTCTAGACCCCAGTGTTGGCAGAAAGGGCATAGAGTTCTCAGAGACAGTACCCTTCTGTCCAGGGCATTAACCAGCAGGGTTCTACTAAGTATCCTATGTTCTCTCTGGGCAGGGAGCAGCCCATGAAGACAATTTTTGTAGTGTTGCTTCTCCAAGTCCAAACTTAATATTCAATGTTAAATGCATTGCTAAGAAAATAATGTAAATATGATTAAATATTATTTGATATTTATAAAAATGTAGCAATATAAAAAATTCTTGCCATTTATAAAATATCTTCAAAATTGTTTGGCATTGAGTACAACTTTATCAGATTTACACAAAAAAATAGAAATTGTTTTAAATTTAAATATTAATTTTTTGGAGACAGAGTCTCATTCTATTGTCCTGGGTAGAGTGCTATGTTATCATCATAGTTCACAGCAACCTCAAACTCTTGGATTAAGATGATCCTCTTGCCTCAGCCTCTTAAGTAGGTGGGACTACAGGTGCCTGTCATGACACCTGGCTAGTGTTTTTCTATTTTTAGTAGACGCAGGGTCTCGATTTTGCTCAGGCTAGTCTCAAACTTCTTCTCTTTTTTTTTTTTGGAGACAGAGTCTCAAGTAAAGTACGCTGATGTTACAGCTCACAGCAACCTCAAACTCTTGGGCTAAGAGATTCTCTTGCCTCAGCCTCCCAAAGTAGCAGGGACTATAGGTGCCTGCCACAATGCCCAGCTATTTTTTGTTTGTAGTTGTCATTGTCGTTTGGGTCTGGGCTGGATTCGAACCCGTGAGCTATGGTGTATATCTCTGGCATCCTAGCCGCTTGAGCTACGGGCACCGAACCTGGTCTTAAACTTCTTAAGCAATCACCCACCTTGACTTCCTAGAGTGTTTAGGATTATAGGTGTGAGCCATCACACCCCTGCCAAAAATAGCAATTTTAGATAATTTAATAATTGAAGATATTAAGATATTTAAGCTCTCCCAAATTACTTTCTCTTTCTCCTTTTTTTTTTTTTTTTTTTGACAGAGTCTCACTATGTCACCCTCGGTAGAGTGCTGTGACATCACAGCTCACAGCAACCTCAAACTCTTAGGCTTCAGCATTCCTCTTGCTTCAGACTCCCAAGTAGTTGGGACTATAGGCGCCCGCCACAATGCCTAGCTATTTTTGGTTGCAGTTGTCGTTGTTCAGTAGGCCTGGGCCGGGCTGGAACGGACCAGCTTTAGTGTATGTGACTGGCACCCTTACTCACTGAGCTACAGGCGACAAGCTTCCCTTTCTCCTGGTTTTTTTTTTTTTCTTTTTGAGACAGAGCCTTAAGCTTTCCCGCCCTGGGTAGAGAGCTGAGGCATCACAGCTCACAGCAACCTCCAACTCCTAGGCTCAAGCAATTCTTATGCCTCCACCTTCTAAGTAGCTGCGACTACAGGCCCCCACCATAACACCCAGCTATTTTTTTTGTTGTTGCACCCGTCGTTGTTTGGTGGGCCCAGGCTGGATTCGAACCCACCAGCTCAGGTGTATGTGGCTGGCGCCTTAGCCACTTGAGCCACAGGCCAGGCACTGAACCCCTTTTTCCTTTTATATTGTTGTTCTGTGTTTTCTGTCAGTAGTTGAATGAGTGTAATGCTGTAATGTTGTACCTGTGTGTGGAATTACAGAGAAATGCCAGCATACTTAGTTCAAATTCAGCAAGGGTCCTTGATTAGGCCAGCCAAGTCACTTTGTGGGCTCACGCCACAAAGTCTCTTGACCACCTTGAAGTGAGAGTGCAAGATTTTTATATGGCACTTCAAGCTGGGGATAGGAAGCCCGAACATAAGCAGACTTGTACAGAAGCCAGTATCTGCAAGGTTTAGAACTATGGGGAAGGGGTCAGGGATCTTACAGATGTCTGAAACTGCTCACAGACAGAGCAGACAGATTTGTGACAGGATTGTGGTTTCCACAAGATTTTTTCAGTTGTCACAGAATTCTGCAGCTCTCAGCTAAATTTCTTCCCATTTTTGCAGGGTCATTGCTTGCTCAAGGGACTATTTTGGTTACAAAAAGGGGGTTTGGCAAGCTTTTAACAAAACAGAATAAGTCTGGTTCACTTGCTCAAAATGGATGGAGTTTGGGCATCACACTCATCACTGGTCTCATTCTCACATCAAATCTTTGATGTCCAAGTTAAATTCTTATCTGTTCATCTAAGGGTAGAGGGGTATATTGGGCATAAATTATCATGAGTTTGATTACGGCCAGTCGAGTTTTTAGGAACTTGATGAACCAGTTGAGGATGTAAGGCCCTATTAGTAATCCCAGGATAAGGAAGAGTAGAGGGCCAGCGAGGCTGGTGGTCAAAGTTGTTAACCAGGAGTTCCATGGTCAACATGTAAGTTTTAGAACCAGGTCTGAGAGCTTTCTCCTTCCTTTTTTCTTTTATCTAAATCATCTTGAACTTTTTGTAGGGTATCTCTGATTACCCCTGACTTATTGGCATAAAAACAGCAGTCTTCTCCTAGTGCAGCACATAGACCTCCTTGCCTCAGAAGGAGGAGGTCTAGCCATCGTCGATTCTGGAGGACTATCATCTAGAGAGTCTACTTGATGCTCAAGTAAACTTCTAGCTGACTGGAGGTTTTCTAAGGTTCCATCAAATTGTGAGGATACCAGTGCAAGGTCTTTGTTACCTTTTACTAAGGTAGCGGTTCCTACAACTGCACCTCCTGCCACTGTGAGACCAAACAGGATTGGGATTAAGACTGGAGCTCGCTTTTGACAGTGTGAACTCCATCCCTGAGAGAAAATTAAGCTCTTTCCTTCTTAACCACGGTACACATACATTGGGGCAATATGTGTACTATAGCACAAATGCCTTCTGGCTGAGGGTTGTGGTTTCCACAACATTGTTTTCAGTTGTCACAGAATTCTTCAGCTCTCAGCTAAATTTTCTTCCCATTTTTGCAGGGTTGCTGCTTACTCAAGGGGCAATTTTGGTTACAAAATGGGGGGTTGGCAAGCTTTTAACAAAATGGAGTAAGTCTTGATTCACTTGCTTAAAATGGATGAAGTTAGGGCATCACATTAATACTTTTAATTTTCAGCTGTTTGAATTTCTTCTTTGGAAGCAGGCATGTTTAATTAAAATACATAGACTGCATTGGAATAGTGGTTTATTTTCCATATGTAGTTGTATTGTTTCACAGGATTCTCTTTCTTCATCTTTTCAACAAACAAACAACAAAAATTGTGGCTATGTGCTAGGACCTATTATATGTATAGGAGACAAAAATTTCACTCTTTTTTTTTTTTTTAAGTTCAGAGTCTCACTCTGTTACCCTAGGTTGAGTGCTGTGGTGTCACAGCTCACAGCATCCTCCAGCTCTTGGGCTTAGGCAATTCTCTTGCCTCAGCCTCCCGAGTAGCTGGGACTACAGGTGCTTGCCACAACACTGAGCTGTTTTTTATTGTTGTTGTTGCAGTTTGGCTGGGGCTGGGTTTGAACCTGTCACCCTCGGCATATGGGGCCAGCACCCTACTCACTGAGCCACAGGTGCTGCCCAAAATTTTCAGTCTTTATTAGCTTACTATTCTAGCAATTCCCTGTAGTCCAATAGAAGTCATAAAAAAGCCAATTTAGGCTCGGTGCCTGTGGCTCAAGTGGCTAAGGCACCAGCCACACACACCTAAGGTGGCAGGTTTGAATCCAGCCCGGACCCGCCAAACGACGACGGCTGCAACCAAAAAATAACCGGGCATTGTGGCGGATGCCTGTGGTCCCAGCTACTTGGGAGCCTGAGGCAGACTTGCTTGAGCCCAGGAGTTGGAGGTTGCTGTGAGCTGTGAAGCCACGGCACTCTACCCAGGGGGATAGCTTGAGGCTCTATCTCAAAAAAAAGCCAATTTAATTGATAACAACCCTGTTATCAATTTTCTATTACCATTCTGATTATCTTGATGGATGATTTGGATTAATTCCCCTTGATTAACCAATTTATTTCAGAAATATTGGTTAAATTAATATGATATGAAATTTAATAATGTATATTCCTTGATTCTATGGGTTTTTGTTTTTTTTTTTTTTTTTCTGGCCAGGGCTGGGTTGGAACCTGCCACCTCCATACACCTCTGGTATATGGGGCCAGCGCCCCACCCTTTTCAGCCACAGGTGCCACTCTGTTCCTTGATTCTAAATAAAAGTAGATTATCCACCATGATATATTCTTTGGCCTATAATATGAATGTAGTACAAATTTGAACTTTTATTAAAAATTATTGTTTCATTATGGAATCTCATGGCTTAGTTTGAGTAATTCCCAGTGTGCTCTACATATCAGAATCACTTAGGGAACTTAAAAAACTGAAGATCGGGCCCCATCCTAGACCACTTTATTCAAATCTAGGATAAGGGCAGCCTGGATATCAGATATTTTTGTAAAAGAACTCCAGATTATTCCAGTGTACATATAGGGTTGAGGATGTGTTGTAGTAGTTACCGAAGTTGCCATACATTGACTCTTTTTTTTTTTTTTTTTTGAGACAGAGCCTCAAGCTGTCCCCCTGGGTAGAGTGCTGTGGCATTACAGCTCACAGCAACCTCCAACTCCTGGGCTCAAGCGAGTCTCCTGCCTCCGCCTCCCAGATAGCTGGGACCACAGGCGCCCGCCACAATGCCCGGCTATTTTTTGGTTGCAGCCGTCATTGTTGTTTGGCGGGTCTGGGCTGGGGATTCGAACCCGCCACCTTAGGTGTACGTGGCTGGCGCCTTAGCCGGTTGAGCTATAGGCGCCGAGCCCATACATTGACTCTTAAAACATATTGAAGACTGGCTTCTACCTATAAACATTCAGATTTAATTGATATGAGGTCTGATTTATGCTTTACTATTTTTTTTTTTTTAAGAGACAGAGTCTTACTTTGTTGCCCTTGGTAGAGTGCTGTGGCATCACAGCTCACAGCAACCTCCAGCTCTTGGGCTTAGGAAATTCTCTTGCCTCAGCCTCTCGAGTAGCTGGGACTGCAGGCACCTGCCACACCCTCAGTAGAGTACTGTGGCATCACAGCTCACAGTAACCTGCAGCTCTTGGGCTTAGGCAATTCTCTTGCCTCAGCCTCCCGAGTAGCTGAGACTACAGACACCTGCCACAACATCGGGCTATTTTTTTGTTGTTGCAGTTTGAGGCTGGGTTCGAACCCACCACCCTCAGTATATGAGGCCAGCACCCTACTCACTGAGCCACAGGCGCTGCCCCATCCATGCTTTACTATTTTTAAAAAGGCTTCCTACTGCGGTGGTTCCTGCCTATAATCTTAGCACTCTAGGAGGCCAAGGCGAGTGGATTGTTTGAGCTCAGGAGTTGGAGACTAGCCTGGGCAAATGTGAGACCCCCTCCCCATCTCTTAAAAATAGCTGGGTGCTGTGCCAGCCATCTGGTGTCCCAGTTACTTGGGAGGCAGTGGGAAGAGAACTGCTTGAGACCAGGAGTTTGAGGTTGTGTGAGTTATGACACCATAGCACTCTACCAAGGGTGACAAAATGAGACTGTGTCTCAAAAATAAATAAATAAAAATGGTTTCCAGATGATTCACATGTGTAGCAAAGTGTTAGAACTACTACATTACATTGTTAATAATTTTTCATTTGCATAACTAATATGAATTATCTTTGTTCAAGTCTATTAATATTTAGGGAAGATCATTATATTCTAGCATGTTTTAGGTGCCAGGTTGCCCTTGTGACACCACATTCTATTGGGAAGAAGCCAAAATAATCTAAACAAGTAAATTAAATAGTATGTTTTAAGGTGAAAAATGCTATGGAGAAATATAAAAGCAGAGGAGACAGGGTGTGCCAGAGATTGAGGCAGTTGCAACATTAATTCCATTTATTTTTTATTTGTATGTATTTCATAGGGGTAAAAGTACAGTTTTGCTGCATTGATAAATTGTGGAGAACTCAGGGCTTTCAGTACATACATCACTGAAGCAGTCCATGTTGTACCCACCAAACAACATCTCATCATCTCTGCCCCCAGTCTCCTTTGTCCAGGGATCCTCAAACTTTTTAAACAGTGGGTCAGTTCACTGTCCCTGACACTGTTGGAGGGCCGGACTGCAAGCCCAGGGACAAGTTGGCTGCTAAGCAGGATAGGCAGCGGCTGGGGGCCGGATAAATGTCCAAGGTGGGCCACA